TCTCATTAAGCAGTGAAGGTTAGAACCTATTTTTCTCTCTATGGCTTAAAATCACCTGTGTGTTCAACTCTTTTTCCTTCCCACATGTCTAGTGTGGCCTTTAAAAACCACAACTTATTTTGGTCATTAAATGTGCAATATTCACTTCTTTGTTCAACATTTAACACACTTGTACAAAGAACAAGTTTTTATATAATGATGAGAAAAGGGAGGAAATGATAATTGGTTAAGTAAACTGCAAATAAACTAGATTCAAATTTAATTTACATGTGGTGGACATGTCTCATTTTGGGCAAGTTGGTTGGCAGGTGTTTGTTTTTTATCCTCACCCGAGGACATTTTTCCATTTTTTTGTTCAGATAGAATGGAAGGGAGAGAGAGGGAGAGGGGGTGGGGGGAGGGGGAGAGAGAGAGAGAGAGAGACATTGGCGTGAAAGGGACACATTGAGTGGCTGCCACCCGCATGACCCAACCAGGGCTGGAGACAAACTGCAACCGAGGTACATGCCCTTAGTGGGAATCGAACCCAGGTCTCTCGGGACCGCAGGCCGATGCTGTAACCGCTGAGCCAAACCGGCCAGGGCAGTTGGCAGGTGTTTTCATCCAGAAATTGCACTACGGAGAAATAAAGCAGAAAGCTTGTAATGGGTAGCATTTATGTTCTGTGACATTTCACTATACAGGGTGAGGCTTCTAGTTTCAAAGAGAATGTAAACCTTGGGGGTTTAAGAATTGGCATAGACAGGATGCCCCGGTGATTCCAGAGAGCTCCAGAGAGCCTGGAGGGTGGGGTGGGGCCCTCTGGGAGGGCAGAGCAGTCTGGGGAGGGCAGTGTGAACAGGTAACTGTAACCCAGTTTGCTCACGTTTTGTTCGGGAAGTCACCTCCATTGGAATACCTGGGAGGTCTTCCTCTGTGTTCCTTTTCATTAACATTTGTAAGGCATCTTGAAGGAGCCCAGTGTGGCGGGGGAGATACTGGTCAGATCCCTTTCCTCCCTGGGACATTTCACTTAGAAGTGAGGATAATTGCAAGCTTACCTGTCTTCTGGGTTTTTAGTGAGAACTACCTGAGATCACAGAGGGGAAGGGGTTTGAGGATCATGGGGGCCCCAGAACTGTGAGGAGCTGTTATTGTGGAGGGGGTGGGGCTGAACCTCAGTGGCCAGCAATGGAGGCGCAACAAGCTCAGGACCCCTAACTCTTGGTTTCCAAGGTCCCTCTGGCCTGAAGGTAGACACCTGCCTCTCACCCAGTCTGGGTGGGGGATATGTGTGAAAACTCTGACCCCCACCCCAGCGTCATTTCCATCCTGAGGCAGGGAGATTCCCTTCAGCGTAGATTATCTCATGGACTGTGTCTTCTCATGGAGCCACATCTCGATTTAAAATGTAGGTTATTGGCCTGGCCGGTGAGGCTCAGCAGATTGAGCATTGTCCCATGCACCAAGAGGTCACGGGTTCGATTCCTGATCATGGCACATGCCCGGTTGTGGGCTCAGTCCCTGTAGGGGGTGAACAGGAGGCAGACGATTGATGTTTCTGTATCTCCCTTTCCCTTTTTCCCTAAATAATCTCAATAAAAATATTTTTTTTAAAAAAATTTAGGTTATTAGCTAGCTCTTGGAGGGCAGGGGATGTGTGTCGGGCTCTTGGTGGGTCTGGCAGGCACCTGGGCTGCTGTTACCCCCCTCCTGCTGCCCGGTGGCCAAGGGTCCGGGAGCTGCGGGCTGTCAGCAGCCCTCTGGAATGCACGGACGGACGGAGCCCTCCCCCAGGAAGGGAAGACTGTGGCTCGGCACCCTGTGCCCACTGGGAAGTGCAGTCTGGACAACTCCTGTCTCCTAGGTCACTCTCCCCATGACTCAGGGGCCGCAGGACACTGCTGACCGAGCCTGAGGCCAGTGCTCGTACCCTTGCCACTTGTAGAGCCCCAGTGCTCCAAGAGGGTCCCCGGGGGGAGGGGGGGCTCTGCTCCACTCAGACCTCTCGGAGAGGCCAGGCTCTGAGGCCGGCCCCGGGGCTCTGGCGATGGTCAAGTGCATCCCTTCCCCTTCTGCCGCTAGAACAGCTGCTTTCTCTGGAGACCACGCAGGAGGCTGCCTGTGCATTGGAGCAAATGTGGGAGCCTCTGCTGTCCCTCCACGCATGCCCCTGGCACACCACACTCTCCGGAACCACTTTGTCAGAGGCACGGTCCTGTGAGGAAGGTGCTGCTTCCGTTTCCGGAAGCCCTACTTCCAAGCACAAATACACAGGGAGGAGCAACTTTGGGGAGACACGAATCTGGGTTGTAAGACGTATTATTATTTTCTCAAATGTAATCATGACACTGAGGTTATGGGGGAGGATGCTCTTGTTCTCAGAAGACACACATATTTAGGGGTGATGGACTGTGATGACTGCCGCTTACTCGCAAATGGTTCAGCCAAATCCACACACATGCGCGCACACCCGTGGGCACCAAGCACACAGGGCAAAACGTTAGTAACTGCGGGATGTAGGCAGGGGGCACCTGGGCGACCATCTTACTTTTCCAGCTTTGTGCATTTGAAGATGGTCATAGTACAAAGTTAGGGGTAAAATCACCTGGAGAATTTGTTTCAGGTTCCAGAGCCAGTGATTCAGGAAGTCCAGGTGGTGCTCAGAGCGGGAGCTGAGCAAGCTCCCCAGGTGTCCCGGATCTAGGCGCCCTTGGAACCCACTGGGGAAACAGTGCCCAGGGTTCCCGGGCTCTCACCTGTGACCACTGCACCATGGGGCTGGAGCAGGTGCGGTGCAGACAGGTGAGAGTAGCCAGGCAAAGCCGTACAGGGAGCCAGCCCTGTGCTCAGCCCCTTGGGTGCCCTGACTCCCTCGTACTTCGCGCATCCCTATGGGGGCTGGAGCCTCCCACAGCAGCCTCAGCTCAGCCACACCCTGCCCTACCCCATCGCCCAGGCTCCAGAACTTTCAATTGCGTAAACATCATGCTGTGTCTGACCTCCTGGCCTTTGCTCAGATTGTCTTTCTGCTTAGAAGGCCCTTCTTTCCTACCTCCCAACCCCCATCTGCATGGCTAATGTGTACCCTCTCCATGTCCCCTCCTTCAGGCAGCCTTCCCAAGATCGGGCCAGTCCGCCTTTTTACCTGCTCCCACAGCACCCCCAGCATACTGTTGCCCTTACGTGACTTTCCACTAACTGTGGACTCCTCGGGGCTGTTCCCAATGCACTGCCCAGCACAGCTGAGGGTGAGTGGGACGTGTGGCTGTTTTTGGCCAATGGGAGACCCTCTCTCTAGAGCTTTCTTTTTATCTCCCACCGGAAATCCACATTAGAGACGGTGGATCCCTAAGTAAGTACAAAGAGCAAAGTCCCCCTGCCAACCTGTGATGGGCACGTAGCTTTGGTGAGAACAAACCCTCACAGTTTTCAGCCATTGTGATTTTGCGGTTTGCTACCACAGCCTGACTGATACACCACTTTTGTATCCCTCAAACATCTGTACCGACTCCCGGCGCAAAACAGATACATAAGAAACAATTCCTATCACTATTGCTCTTGGCTGTGAAACTGGCCTCAAAGACCAGGCAGAGGTTCTAAGACACAGCATCCTGTCTTCACTTCCTCCCTGGTGATACAGGACCCTCCCTTGAGGGTCCCAAAGTACCCTCATACAAGGAGGTACAGATGCCAAGTCCTCTGGCCGCTTGACAGCTCAGACAGGCTCCGGGATGGATCCCCATTAACCAGGAGTCGCCATCACTCACTTGCCCTGGCGAAGGTCCTGTGAGGAGGGGAACCTCATACCCACTGCCCTGCTTATTAACTTGTAAAGATCGCTCAACCTTCAAGCCATCACCCCAAGGAAGGCATCAGAGAGGACCCTGTGGTCACCATTCCAGTTTTTGGACAAGCTCTGAAGGAAAGAAAGTTTGTTTCCATGGCCTCTTCAGTCCCCTGAGTGTGTGTGTGTGGGGGGGTGTCTCGGTGGCCCTTCCTCTTGCCAGCTCACCCCGGTGATGGCAGGAGCTGCAGGAGCTACAGTGACTGACAAGTCCACACTGAAGAGCGAAAGGAAGGCAGGACCCTGCGGAGTCGGCAGGCAGGACTCGGGGGAAGGGGCTGAAACTGCTGAGCCTTTGCACTGTGTCCATCCTGGGAGGATGCAGGGCGTAGAGAGGCCAGAGCTGCAACTGCTTTACCCACGGGGACGCTGCAGCCCAGACGTCCCCTGAGGTTCCCCAGCCTTGAGGACAGTGGATTCCAGAAGCTTTGAGATGTTTTGTTTCCTTTTCCCAGGAGCCCGAGGTCCAGGCAGTACAGGGCAGTGGATGGGATAAAACTGGCAAAGGGGGTGGGGCAGTCCCAGAGGAGACTCGGGGACAGGGCACCAGGCTCCTCCTGGCCGCTGATCTGCTTCCCTGGGACCACAGCTTTGCACGGCCCCAGCCCCAAAGCCCAGCCTCAGGCTTGCTCTCTGGAACCCTGATTCTCAGTGAGGAGGGTGTCGGGGCCCCACTGTCCCAGACCCCTCTGCGTGTCCCGAGGTCGCTCTTCAAGGACAGCCTGTGCCGCCCCTCACATCTGTGCACCGCTTGGTCTTCCAAAGTCCCTTTACATCCTCAGATCTCGACGGTCCTACCAGCCAGGAGCGAAAAACATCGTTGTCCATGTTCAACAGCAGATGAACTAAGACCCAGTTCACCTGGTGAAAAACTGCCTCGGTCCACACAGCCGGTCGGTGAGAGGCAGGATGGGGTCTGGGCCTCGAGACCCCGCAACCAGGGTCCTGCCTGCTTCACTGTGGGGTTCCAGGTAAGACAAGGTGGGAGGGGCGTTCCCGAAAGTTTCACACTGGGGCTCACACACGCACACACACACTTTCGGAACGCTGCCCCACTGACATAATACTACCGGGGCTCCGAGACAGATGTCCATGTAGGAAAGCACTGAGCCCTGTGAGTGGGTCCTGACCCCCAGGGGCTGCCCAGCTGGGGACTGCCAAGGTGCCTGGGAGCCAGGAAGGGCTGCCCCAGCCAAGCCTCACGCTGGCCTTCGCAACTCATGGCACACAAGTGGGTGCTCGTGGCTGAGGGGCTCCTCGTGGTGAACAGGTGGTGGCCGGTGGGCTCCGTGGGCTCATCTGGCCCAAATTCTCATAATTGGACTCCTGAGCCTGAGGCCTGTGGACAAGAAAAGTTGGCTGATCACCCAATCCAGGAGGGGGGTCCCTGACTTCCCAAGAAGGGACAGGAGGAGTGATGAGGTGGGTGTCGGGGCCCAGCAGTGCAGGACCTGAGGAACGGGAAGGGCCACTGTGGGTGAGGACAGTATACAATGGCAGAATCTCTCACTCTCGTAGGGACTCATCTGTGGCCTCACAGACCACCGCTGTGTCCTGATCTCCAGGCCTGGTTTCCTGAGCTCCTGCCTTCCTGGCTTCTGGGACCTCTGAATGGGCATCTCAAGCCTAAATGTCCACAGTGCTCATGTGATCCTGGCCACCATCCCTCTCTCCTCTCCTCAGTTTTATCTCAGTAAGCAGCACCCAGGGTGCCAGCTCCAAACCTGAGTATTCTGGCTCCTCCCTCGCTCAAGCACCACCCAGTCCTCTGGCCAGCCCTGCCTCTGTCTGTCCCCTCTTCCGGCCACCACGCCAGTTACCTCCGCCTGGGCAGCCACGCCAGCCTCACCCTTGGCCAGCAGGCTCTTCACAAGTCTCCCGCCTCCCTTTCCTGCAAGGATGGGGACACTGGTCTGCTTACAACCATTCAGTGACCTCCCATCGCACCCAGAATAATCCCGCAGCCTGCCAGCCCTCCCTCCCCCTTCCCAGGTCTCCCCTGCGCCACCAGACTCACCCTTTCCTCCCAGATCGCTCTCCCCCACCCCAGCCTGTCCCTCTGGGCTCAGGTCTCCTCAATGCTCTGTCCTCAGACAGGATGTCCTGATCTAAAGCAGCCACGGCCCAGTGGCCACCTCCCTACCCTGGGGCTCTACTTCACTGTCTTGTCCATTTCTTAGATCCTTATTTTAAGATCTAAGATGATGTCGTTTGTGTTCTAGTAAAACTTTCCACAGTAAAATTAGAGTTCTCTAATTCCAAGGATTTTCACTGTATCTTGAGCATCCAAAACCTAGGTACATTGTAGATGCTCAATAAATATTTGAACAATAGTCTGATTTAGTTACCTTGGTGCAGTGGTAACTTAGTCAAGAGAAGGGACATTGCACAGGCATTCGAGAATGTAGCTGGGGGTGGGGGGTCGTTGAACAGGCAGCTGGAGAGAGGGGCTTGGGCTGTCGAGGTGGCTTTTCTTTTTTTTTTTTTTTTTTTATCCTCACCTGAGGATATTTTTCCATTTTTTGTACAGATAGAGTGGGAGGGAGAGAGAGGAAGGGAGAGAGAGAGAGAAACATCGACGTGAAGGGACACATCGAGTGGCTGCCACCCGCACGACCAACCAGGGCTGGGGACAAACTGCAACCGAAGTACGTGCCCTTAGCGGGAACCGAACCCGGGTCTCTCCAGACCGCAGGCCGACACTCTAACCGCTGAGCCAAACTGGCTAGGGCCGAGGTGGCTTTTCTAACCCTTGGGGTACAAATGGAGTGGAGTTATGGGAGCTGAGCCTGGGCTTGTCTAATGGGCCCTGGAAGACTGTTCCTCCTCACCCCACCCCGACCCAGCATCCCAGACAGACCACCAAGTCTCTGAATTGAACTCTTTCTTCATCAACATGAACCTTCACTTGGATAAACACCAAGAATAGGGGAGCACGGGTGGGAGGATCAGCGCTTCCCAGCTGGGTCCCTGGGCCCGACCTAACCCGTTAGCACCATTAATAACATTAGTTTGCAGAGCCTTCAGCAGGGTGTTTGGGACAATGAGTGCTCTGAGGTGGCTTCTGCGTGGGTCTGCCTGTTCCAGAAGGCTGGTCACTAAAGAGAAAACAGCCTTGAGGAATCACATCTAGGTGCAGAGATAAGACAGACACACAGACCCTTTAGCACCAGGATACCAGGCAGGCCTGGGAGAGATGCCACCGTGAGGCCCAGACAGGAAATGCGGGGAGTGGGGTGGGGGTGGCGGTGGGGAGAGCAGGCCACTGTAGTCTGGTCTGGCTTGAGAAGGCATGGTGGACTGAAGGAGGGGTCTCCAGAGGCCTCAAGGACGACCTAGACCCTGAGCAAGGCTGGGGCCGCAGCCCCGGCCCTTTGTCTGTTCTCTGTCCACATGCTACCAGCCCTGAGAAACCTGTACCCCTTGACCAGTGGGGACTAGTGCCAGGTGGGGGTGGGTGGGTAGCTCACTTACCGTGGTGGGGTGTCCTGGGTGACCGGATCCTCTGTGTGAGGGATAAGGAGAAAGAGAAAGAGGGCATGAATCTACATGGTAGCCTCCAGCTGTGTGTTGTGTTCCCGCCCCACTCTGGACAGTGGTCTGAAAGGAGCGTGTAACAAACACTAAGCCGTGGGCAGGATGTGAAGACTTAACATGAAAGATAAGCAGGCCTTAGGAAGGAGAAAGGTGGAGTGAGGGGCCCCCCAGTAGAAGGACCTGCCCGTCTGAGGACCCCACGCACAGAATGCCTGGTGAGTCTGAAGAACCAGCAAGAGAGCCAAGGTGGCCACAGCAAAGATGACAGCTAGGGCAACAGTGACAAGTTCTGGATTCCATCCCAGGAGAGTTTGAGGCTGGTGCTATTGACCTGGGTTGTCTGAGTGGCTCTGGGAAGTCCCCCTTTGGGCACAGATGCAGATTTCCCCCCAGCCCAGCGAGCAATGGGGGGCAAATGGCAGCTCTCTGAGGACTCTCTGCTAGATGACCCTCCCACACTTCTGCACATGCTGTTCCCTCTGCTCTGAATACTATTATTAGCTTCTTATTTTCCTAGCTCATGATTCCACTCATTCTCACCTTCCTTCCTGGCCCCTGTGCAGACGCCCACCAGAGTAATGCACACATACCCCGGGCTCCCGCAGTACCCAGACTCCAGGATGCTTCTGCAGATTGCATTGAATCTGCTTCCTCCTCAGCATCCCATTCCAGGGCAGGCCAAGTTTTATTCATCTATGTATCTTGGAGCCTACAGAGCACTAGTAGGTCCTCAAGATGCTGTCTGTTGTAAATACTGGAATGGTGCTACTTGGCAAAGCCTACGTGTGGTCAGAGATCTCAGGGAAGAGTCCTTTACCAGGTGGTGGTAAAACGGCGGGCTCCAGAGCTATACGGTCTGGTCTCTATCTCTGTGACTCTAGGCTAGAGGTAAGTTCTTTAACCTTGCTGGCCTCAGCTTCCTCATTGTAAATGGGCTCACGCTGGTTCCCACCTCCTGGGCTTGATGCAGGTAGAGGAAATCGAGATGACGCACTGGCGCAAAAATGTTTTGGTTGTGTCATGCCATGTGGTCAGCCGGATGGTCTTACTTAAAAGGAGAGCCCCCCGCCCCGCTGCTCCCCTTGCACCCACCCTGGCACCGGCGTACCCACCTAGGCGACGGCGGGTGGTGCAGGCGGCCAGCACACCAAGCAGCAGCAGCACCTTGAGGCCAAGCGCGCCGAGCAGGAGGGCGATGGCCGGGGTCCGGGAAGCGCTGTGGAAACGGAACAAGTAGACGCTGGCCTCGGCGTGGCCCAGGCTGTTAATGGCAGTGCACGTGTAGCGGCCGTCGTGGGCCAGAGCAGGCAGCTCGGCGGTCACCTGGTGGCCGTGATGCTGACCCAAGCCCCGCGCGGCAGTCGAGAGGTTGCCCAGGGCCGGGCCGGACCAGGTGAGGGTAGGCGGCGGCTCCCCTTCGGCGGTGCAGAGCGCCCGGAAGGCATGGGCGGGACCAGGCAGCACTGAGATATTGACAATCCGTGGGGCGGCTGCGGGCGGCAATCAAGGGGGCAGGGCGGGGAGGGGTGGGGTGGGGCGTGTGGGGAATGGGGAGTGGGGGGAAGAAAGCGAACCTCGGTCAGAGGGCGCCTGTGCGGCAGACAAGGAGAGGGGTACCCTTCCCTGTCCCCTTTAGTCGCCCAGAAAGTTGGATGAGGTGGGAGAACGTGTAAGGGCACTTGGGCACCGTGCTGCCTGGATTCCAATACAGGTGTGGCCTTGGGCAAATATCCCACTGCTCTGAGCTTCAGTTTCTCCACGTGTAAAATGTGGGCCATTTACCTTCTGGGGTTGGTGATAAGATCTGGCAAGTTAATACGCGTAGGGTGCTTGGACTAGGCCTGGCACGCAGTAAGTGCTCACTAAAGGTCGTTATTTATTGTGGTAGCACAGGGTTGGGGGCAGCCTGCTGGTGTGATTTCAAAGGCACTTCCCACAACCAGACACCCACCAAGACCTAGAGGTGAGACTGATTCACTGACTCCGTTGGCCTGTGTTAGGTGCCGACACTGGGAAGCTACTGAAATGCTCTCAGAGAGGCGTCCCGCCAGCCCAAGGGCACAGAAGTTCTTGGGAAAGTCACATTGGAACCCAGAACTCCTGGACGCCCCCACCCCACCCCTCCCACAACAGAGGATCCAGGATTTATTTTCAAAAGCTTTACAGGTGGTTCCAGTGCGCAGCCAGGGTTGAGAACCAGGGCTCCGGGGACGGGGCACACAGGGTTGGCACCGCCCAGGGGACGCGGGTGCTCTTCAGCGCGCCCAGCGCTCACGTCGCCGCAGCCCTTGCCATATTTAGGGGTGCTCACTAATTCTCTCCCCGGACCTCGAGCTACGGGGACGTGCACTCTCTGAGGGCTTCTTTACAACGAACATTCGCAGGCCCCGCCCCGCCCTTCCCGGGGCCAGGATTCTGCATTTCTGAGAAAATCTCAAGTGGCCCGTAACCACTGCCGAGTGAGACGCCCCCACGCCCCGCTCTAGAGAAAGGAGGTGTTGCATCCCTTCCTACGCCGGTGGCGGCGGGCGCAGTGCCCGGCACCCAGGGGGCACCCGGAGCGGAGTGGGGGGGGGGGGGGCGCGTGCTCACCGGTCACGCGGAGCCGGACGCCGTGGCGGCTCTCGTAGCGGTCGTGGACGTCGCCGGCGAACTCGACGCGGCAGAAGTAGCGGCCGTCGTCGGCCAGGGCGAGGCGCTCCAGGCGCAGCGAGAGGTCGTTGCGGCGCGGGTTGCCCAGCAGGCGGAAGCGGCCGTGCAGGTTCAGCGCCGTCTGGCAGAGCTCGCTGCCCCGCGCCGCCGCGCACCGGAACACCTGCGGGCCCGCGTACGGCTCGCCCGCGCGCCAGATGGCCGTCAGCGGCCCGTCGTAGTGGCGGTGCGGGTGCGTGAAGGTGCAGGGCAGCACCGCCGCCCCGCCCGCCGCCGCGCTCACCTCGGCGGGCACCTGCATGGACCAGCGCTGCGTCGGGGCGCCTGCGGGCGGGCCGGGTGCGTCAGCCTTACCCGCTCCGTGGCTCGGCTGCGGGCCCCCATCCCTAGGACTCCGGAGGCACCGCTTGGAAACCTAGGATTCAGCAAGCACCCCTCCTCCCGCAGGGCCTGAAAACCCCAGGACTCTAGAAGCACCCCCTCCCAATGACTCGGGAAACACCTCTATCCCAGGGAAAGGAGGGCCTGGAACCCCCCTGCGTGACCTCAGAGGCATCTCCTGGCACCCAGATTCCCATGACTGGCGATGTTCCTGGACCCTCCCCCACTTTCCTGGGCCTGTTTGCCTCTCTCTCCCGGAGGTCCCACCTCACCGACAGGCCCAGTGACCCAATCACTTGCACTGCCGGGGTTCTGTTGTTACAATAGAGTCCCAAGACCTCCGAGATGGTGAGACTAATAAAAGCACTTACTGTGCACCTCTGTGTTGAGCAAGTTCCCGGTAGTATCTCTTCTAGTTCTCACAAATGATCCTAGAGGTAAACATAGTTATCCCCTGTTACATGTTAAGAAACTGAGGCACAGAGAGGTGAAGTAATTGCTGAGGACACACAGCAAGGATGAGGCAAAACCAGCATTCGCACTCAGTGCTGCCTGACTCCACAGTGGCACTCTACTGCACTAAAGGCAAGGGACCTTGGGACTCATCGCAGGAGACCAACACCCCCATTCATAGAGGGGAAACGGGCCTGGGAGGGGGTGATATGTTTTGAAGCTAACGGTTAAGTTGGTGGATCAGATTCCTCTAGCGTCCAAGTCAACACAAGTGGGCTTCCCAAGAGGCTGGTGCCCAGACTTGGAGCTGAGACGCCAAGCGTTGTGGGCAGTTATGCTGCCTCCTTGCTCTGTGAAGAGCCTCTGTCTGGACTGTTTCCTCACCTCCTGCACTCTGAGCCTCTGAAGATGGTCAAGCGAAGGCCCAGAGTCTTCACTCTGTCTCCCATTCACAGAGGGCTGGTGAGTTACTGCCTGTGTAATTGAATATGTGCTGCTTGGAGAGGGGCGAGCTGGGGTGGGGGGGCTGTCAGTGCTGGTCCTCAGAGGATCAGGCCAGGCGTTGTGCCTCCTCACAGAGGGAGGGCACGAGTAGCAGCTTGTGCCCAGGTGCAGTTCTTGGAAAAGAATTATTTCGAGGGAACAGTGTCGCAGCCCTTGTATTTCCAAAGGGCTTTGCAGTTTATGTAGTTCTTTCATGTATATCATGTCACATGACCCTCAAAACACTCGGGGGAGAAAAGCAGGGCAATATAGCTCTAGGTAAGAAAACGAAGGCCCAGAGTTACATAGCAGAAGGTGGGAGAAACCCTGCATTTCTGACTCTAAGTCGGGTGCTGATTGCTCTTCAGCGTAGCCTGACACGTGCCCTGGCAGAATCCTCTCAGCCCACAGCTGGCAGACCATCCTCCAGGGAGCCCATCCCATCTAGGAATCATCTAGGAAGAACGTTTCTTCCCGCACAAAATCCGTATCTACACCATCCATGCGCCTGCCACAGCTCTGTGGGGCACTGTGCATCCCCTCCCGGTGATAGGCCTTCCAGGATCCCATCATGGCTATCCGGGGCCCATTCAGCCTTCCCTTTTCTTGTGCAAGTCCCAGTCCCCCAGCTGCCCCTCCCCATCCTCATTGCCTGCTCAGTACTTTCCTGCAGTGTGGTGTCCTGGGCGGGCTCCCGGTGTGTGCTCCAGGTGTGCTGGTCCAAATGGGGTTGTGTGAGCTGTGCCTTGTATACAGCCTCACCTTGCCCTTGAACTGAGCTTGCAGTTCTGCTTCTAAGCCAAATGTCTTTTCTTCCAGACAAGTGGAATTAGGTTTTTGAACCCAAATGGAAGACTTGACAATTATCCGGAGTAAAAGCTTGTTCGCTCAGTCGTTAATACTCAAAGGGCCTCGTTCCAAATGTGAGAAGCCCTTTCTGAAGGTTTTGCTGGTTCAGTCAGTACTCCCAGCTGCAGGAAGCATCTCCTGAGACTCGGTCCTTGCCTTAGTTTCTCTGCATTTCCCACCCTCTGTAGCTTCGGCCTCCTCTGATCCCCTGCATCTCATGGGCATCCCAGCTTCCCCAGGTACTGTTTGCTGTTGTGCATTCATCCATTAGCATATGTTTATCGGACACGTCCCCACTGTAAGCCAGGCACTGGGGTAGGAAAGGGGGTTATGTAGATCAACAGAACAATTTACCAGTCTGCTGGAGCTCACAGCTCAGAAAGGGAGGCGGATCTGGGAACACATAATTATACCACTGCCTGCCAGGTGCTCGGATGAGAGACACAATGTTCCCTTTGTGTGGACAGAGTTCCGGGCCTTTTTACTTACCAGCTCCCTCCTCACCATCCCCAGGTCTCCTTTGAGTCTGCCTACAGAGAGAGGTCTTCCTTGAGGTCTGAGCCTGGGTGTGGCATCCCTACCCCGTGCCCCAGGGTTGGCAGAGATACTTCCTCTGCATAAGCATTGCCTGGGAGGGCAGGGGCCATGTGTGTGGGGTCATACTTTTGTCACTGCCAGCACGGTGCCATACCACGTGGTAAGTAATGAAATTGCTGTGACAGAGTGGGAGGGGGGTGATCTGGCTGGCAGGAACAACTGGGCGTGGGGTGGGGGCAGAGGCATCGTGCGGAAGATGTTAGGCAGGCAGGGAGTGGAGGACCGAGAGAGAGGAGACACCATTTCAGCAGAGCCTTGAGAAAGGGGAGGGATGTCACTGAGCCTTGAGGTGGATTAAGGCAGTCTAGGCAGAGGGGCAACAGGCAACACCCAGAGGCAGGGACGTCAGCGGAGAGGTTGCTGGGCATGTGGGGATAAGGAGGCCAGAGTTCACAGTGCTTTGGGGGCTCCTTGGGGGACATACCTCATCTTATTTCATATGCACAACGACCCCATGAGGGACTGTCATTAGCTCCTTTTTAGAGAAGGGAGAATTGGGGCTCAGAAAGCGCGAGCGACTCGGCCAGGTCCTCTAGCTAACCAGAAGCAGAGCGGAGGCTTCGCCCTCGGTGGTTCCCGTTCCCACCTTGTCCCATACACTGTGTTACTGGAGGGTGACAGCCTAGTGTGGACTCATCCTGAAGTGTGGCGCAGCTGGCCGGCCAGGGCCCCTCCCTCCCTGGGGCTTTGCTGTAGGAGCAGGGAGGGCAGCCCGAGGTCCTTTCACCAGGTGTCACCGTCTTGGCTCTCGCAGGGCGCAGGGCGGGGAGGCCGGAATCTGTTTCCTGTTTACCTGCTGAACTGATGCCTTCTCGGAGACCTTTGAATGAGTCCCCCCAGGGGACTCAGGTTGGCAGGGATTGCTCAGGGAGCACAGGCATTTGCTTTGGCCGGAACCCAAGCTCCCAGCATCCTGTGACATTTGCTCTTCCCTCTGGCAGCTCACACGTGGCTCTTGTCTCTTAGGACGGGAGGGAAGACTCCTGAACCCCTGAACTGGGAGAGTCTCTATTTGTAGAGTCTCTGATCTCTTATCTCAGGTCTGTCAACTCCTGGGGTCACCAGGAGGCCCGCATTCTTCCCCTTGTCTAAAGCACCTCTCCTGTGGCGGGCACAGGGCGTGGTGGGAAGCTCTTCAGCTCTCGCACCACTAGGCCCGGGGGACAGTCTTACTTGTGGTCATTCTTTCATCTGCGAATGTCAAGCACCCAGTCTGTGCCTGGCACTGTTCTCGGCTCATTCACCTAGAGGAGATGTTTGAGCAAGTTTCTTACTTAATGTCCCAGGTCCCAGGCTCTTCTGTGGCAGAACGAGGAACATAATACCTTCCTCAAAGGATTGAAGGTTGAGTGAGATCTCACATGTGGATCACAGTGCCTGCCCCTGCAAAGGACGTGGGACTGAAAGGGGGTTGGGTGGAGAGTGCTGACCGGTGGTGGGGCATCGCTGTGGGCATATAACCCAGGGTGATGCAGCAGGGGGTTAAGACACTGGTACTTTGGCATTGCACCATCTGCAGCTCAATTTGGTGCCTTAGACCACAGAAATACAACAGCCTGGCCCTGCCCTGCCCTCGGCCCGCCTGATAGCTAGTCGTTTATTCATGTATGCATTCCCTCAGTAGACTCATTGAGGATCTGTTGTGTGCAGGACATTGTGCAGGGTGCTGGGAATGCCATATGGTGACAATGAGCCCCCCCCCCCCCCCAGTATGTTTACAGTCTGGACATTGCTCAGCCACCGTTTGATTTTCATTTATACAAAGTCTAACAAGTATGTTTGGTTAGCATCCCAGCCTAGGGAGGAACGGAGTGAAAAACTGGAAAGTGGATTCTCTTTGTAGGTACACTGAAAGGAGCCAGAGAAGACACTCAGGGAGGAAGGATCCGGTCAAAACGACAGAAAGATGGCTCAGGACAGACATGCTAGAGGCATAGTACAGAAGGGACCATTTCAAAAGGAGCGCAGGCAGGGGGTCTCCAGGCACATGATGCTGCAGCAGGTGGTGTAACAGATGCTCCCAGCTGTGGCCCAGGTCACCTTGGGAAGGTCACTGCCATGAGAAGCGTGCCCCAGACGGGGGGTCAGGAGTCTGTTTGGGGGTCGACTGGCCCTGAGTCAGTGGCTTTAGGCAAGGCCCGGTAGCTCTCTGGCCTCAGTGGGCTCATCCGTAAAATGACATCTCAGTGTTTACAGAGGTGACTTTTCAGTCTAAAAGTCTATTCTGAAAATGACATTTGGATAAAAATGTAAGTCAGACCCTTTAGAAAGATGTCTATTTACATTAAAATACTATTAGTTACTTAAAAATAAGCCATTAGGTATCCAGAAAACCCAGCTACTGACAGAGGCATCCGTGCGTTGATGGTCCCACACTGTCATTTGCCAAACTCTCCACATTGTTCCCTCATGGTGACTGGGCTGCGACACTGGGCACCAGCTCCTGCATCATCCTAACCGTGACTCAAGTAAGGGCTAGTGGACGTATTATCCCAGGACCCCATGCATTTCTGCGGAACCTGGACGGGGAGAAGGGGCGTCTGGATGGGTCAGAAATAGAAACCTTGGTTTCGGCGCCACTGACCAAGAATTCCACCCGTTCCTTGGTGAGGAGGGAAGCGGGGATGTGGATGTGCCGGGAGCCTCTCTGGGGGTCATTTGCGGTGGGTTCTGTGCTACTGTGCTCATGTTAACTGTGGAGAAAACTGCACACAGTTTCATCACAGAATGTGGGTCAGTGGCTGTCCGTGGACCACAGACAGGAAAGTGATCCTGAGGTGGTGGGGGCACGATGGCCAGTGGGGGAGGGTACCCTCCCAGAATGGTGCTTTAACAAGAATTAGGTCTTCTGGGTGAGTTTCATGTGACATTTGTGGAGGAAACACGTTATGGACTTGGAAGGGGGAAGGGTGATGCCCGGTGGGCAGTCCACATGGCACTGGAGGGAGGCCTCATGGCACTCAGAGCTGGGGTCCCTCTGGGGGCACTTTTGGAGCAGGGAGAGCTGTTCGTTTTGGCCACCAAACCTCACCAGTTAGGTGTGTGGGCTGAGCAGGGGAACTCCGACTTTTCCAATCCCTGGGCCCTCGGTTTGCTGCCACAGTTCCTCCTGACCTGCATGTGGTCCAGACAGCTTTTCGGTGGAGCAAAGAGGAGGGGTGGAGTCCAGAGGGGAGAGGAGGGAGCAAACAGGAATTCCGTCCATCAGTGAGAACCAGATCTAGAAGGTTCTAGGGGAAGGGTGAGGTGCAGTGATGTGCGAGGACAGGGCCTGCTGGTCTCCCGCCCTTGGGGTTATCCTGGCCTCTGCTTCACCCCTGCCCCTCTGGCCACTGGGCCGGGGCCACTGGGCCTGCCTGCCTGAGCTGACCGAGAAGCAGGGCCGCTGCCGGGGCTGGTGTCCACAGGACGCTGCTCCTCAGAGTTCCGATTAGCCTGGCCCCGCCTGTGCTCCCCCGGCCTCCTCAGGGGGCCCTGTTCTCCTTCACCCCTCCTCCCTGGGTCGGACTTGTCCATCCAGGCTACTGACCAGAGTAGCCACCAGGAGCGGAAGCAGCGTCTGCCTCATTTCCCCTGGGCCCACGATTGCAGCCTACCTCCTCCCTGGCCTGCACCTACGTCCCGCAGGAGCACCCCCCAGCCTTGGGGGTGCTGGGATTGGTCTGCAGTGGTTCAGAGCTGGACAGGAAAACTCCTCTGAGCACCAAGCCTTGCCCAGGCTCACCACCACTGCACCTAGGTGGTGCGAAGGGTGGGCTGCACCCAGAGGACTCCAGTCCACACCCAGGCGGACCTGAGCTCCCTGAAACAGGGACAAGGGTCCTCACTTTGCAGGGTTGTGGTGAAGAGTAAGTGAGCTGCTCTTCAAAGGTCTGGCACAGACGTCCTTGAGGATGACAGCTACTGTGATTGCTAAACCTGCTTATCAGGGATTGCGGACTGACTGAGGACTTGTACAAGGTCACCCAAGTGGTCAGAGCTCCCAGACCACTGTTTTCCCCACCCCCACATTCTCTGGCATTCCTCCCTTCCTCCCTCCCTCCCTCCCTCCCTCCCTCCCTCCCTCCCTTCCTTCCTTTCTTTCTTCCTTCCTTCCTTCCTTCCTTTTTTTCCTTTGTTGATTTTAGAGAGGGAAGGGAGAGGGAGAGAGAGAGAGAAACATCAATGAGAGAGAACATCAACTGGCCGCCTCCTGCATGCCCCTCACTGGGGATCAGGCCCACAACCTGGGCATGTGTCATGACTGGGAATCGAACCGGCGACCTTTCAGTGCGTGGTCAACGCTCAACCACTGAGCCACATTGGCTAGATGGCATCTCTCACTTTGTAACAGTAGATTTGTAGGGAGAGAGGAGAAAGACAATGGAGAGTGTGTGGAGACCCCCGAGAGAGGAGGGCCTGCCCAGGGCCCTGGGTGCTGAGTGTGGGTCACATGAGGAGGAGGGAGAAGGGCACAGAAAGTGGAGGGGGGTGGTTCTGAGACAGCTTCATCCCACTTTGCTTTGCCAATGGCCTGTCCTGGGCCCCACACTCAGAGGTATGGACAGGGATGTGACCGTGACGCTGACCATGCAGCCCCTTGGGCTGGGCCCACATCACAGCCAAGCCCAGCCTGGTCCCGGAGCCTCCTGCCCAGTCCTGCTCCTGCCTGGAGGGGCTCACAAGCGACTGTCACTAGATGGTTTCAGAAAGTGGGACCCCGCTCACCCTAGTTACAGGCCCCTGGGTTTCAGCAGCGAGGTAGCTGCCATCAGGGAAAGACAAGGGTCTCCCCGTGTGGCTCCGCCTCCCGGGCCATCTTGACGACAGCTGGAGCGTCGGTTTGGTCCGGGATTTGTTCCTGAACATGTGACTGCACATGCTTCCTCTAAATCGTGTTTAACTGACTCATAGCAGCTGACCCTCTGTAGGAGGAAAAAATCCCAAACCCAATGATCTAATTATCCTTCACAACACCCTGTGAGGTGGCAGGGACTCTGCTGTATGGGGCTCAGAGAAGTCAGGAAACCTGCCCAGGGCCACACAGCAATAAACAGCAGAACCAGCATTCCAAGCCACATGGGACATCAACACTGAGGTCCTGAACTGCTGCTCTCCCATCTGCCCCAGGTCTAGGCAGGGGTGGGACCCAACCTTAAAGCCCCCCAGAAAGATGGCTGAGCTAAGTCAACTTGGGAGAAAAAGCCCCTTTCCCATGAGCCCCCACCACAGGGCCCTGTGCAGGGGACAGTGGGCAGTGACCAGTCCAGGGCCACACACACCCGGTTTCTAACCTCAGCTGCACCCCTTGCACCCACCAAAGCTCTCTGTGCCTCAGTTTTCTCATCTGTGAAAGGGGAACAGAAGAGTTCCTTTCCCATGGGGTTCTGAGCTCAAATGAGTTACTAATTCTCATAGGTTCTGAGCTCACATGAGTTACCAATTAAAGAGCCAGCACTGAGAGCTATGTGGGCACTTCCTGTTCCTGTCCGACCCAGACCTGACTGGACTCTGCCAGAGAAAAGAAAGGAGCTGAAGGAGGGGGAGTTTATCACCTGGCCTGGAGACAGGACCCCACACAAGGAATGTCGACTACCAGCTTAGAACGTCACGTCAGCGATGTCCCCAGGCAGCACAGAGGCATGGATGCAGAGCCCAGGGGTCATGGGAAGAGTGTCTCCGGCTGGGGTCAAGGGAAGAACTGGGACCTGGACAGAGGGGCTCAGAGGATGGCCTCCGTCATTTATCCCAGTTGCCCTCAATGGCACTGACCTCCAGACTCACTCAGACCAATGATTGAAAATGCAGATTCCTGGGCCCTGCTGCCTGATCATGTGACTCCACAGGTCTGGGGTGGAGCTGAATACCTGCATTTTAACAAGCGCCCCTCTCCTCTGGGACTGTGGTGCAGAAGGTCAGTGATCAGCCTTTGAGACCTGTTACCCACTGAGCTCAAAGACTCAGATGTTTGTGTTACTTAAGCCTGCCAACAAGTTTCCTTTCACCCTTTGGAGTTCCTGCTGGGAGGTCAGGGTGCCCTCCATCACTTGCTCTATTTCCGATGTGAAATCATCCCCATCTGTACCCCAAATCTCGTTGTGCTCTCCTCATCTCTCCTTGGGGCCTGTCCGCCCATCAGGACATAAAACACTTGGGTGACAGCAACACCCAAAGTCTGTTCAGAGCCTGGACTGCCCTCCCCAAAGCTTGCCCATGGTCTCCCTGGATCCCCACAGCAATGGGTGGGCCTAGAGGCCTTCCTACAGGTGGGGACACTGAGGCCCAGGGAAGTCAGGGGCCTGCCTCAGTCACCTGGAACCCAAGGCAAAGCCCGGACTTGACCTGGCTTCTGTCACCACAACCTCCCGAAGTGCAGCTCTACCTCCTCCAGGGCCCAGAGGCTCTGGTTAAACCAGCTGCACCCAGTTCCAGGACAGAAGACTGTCCCGAAGGTTTTGGGAACCTGTACCGTTCCCAGCGTGGCCCAGAGAGGAGTGGGAAACTCACCCATCGGGAGGACGCACACCAAGCAGGCCAGGAGCCGGATGGACCTCTCCATGTTCTGAGCACCTGGAGACCCCAGACCAGCCCCCACATTGGGCCAGGCCACCAGTGAGAACCCTCCTTGGTGTGGGTGTGGGGGAGGAAAGGTTGGAGTGGGTGGGCGGTGTGCCCAGGTCTGCGCCCGCACTGGGCTCTGTGGTGCTGGAGGAACTGGGGAGAGGCAGCTGGGCAGCCCGAGGTATGATTAGATGAGACCCGTGGGATTTAGTCATGTGGAAAACCAAGAGGGGAAGCACTCGGATGAGCTTTCAGGACAGGAAACAGAAGTGGATGCAAGACCCTTCCTTGCAGCCTGGTCCCTCTGAACCAACGCTGTGCGATGCTTCTTCCTTCCTTTCCCTGGCTACATTTTCAGTGTGTCAGGATGGGTTTTCTCTCCTTCCACCCCCTTCCTGAAAGGGGTTTTGACAAGATGATGCAAGAGACCGAGGGGAGGAGCCTGCTAACATAATAAGGCATCCAAGTGCAGCCAGAAAGCTGTCAGTACTGGCAGGAAAAGACTTGCTCACCGACGCTCCACCTCCAGGACCAGAGCCCTTCCGGAGGCCTGAGATCCTAGAACTGCACTTCAGACTTTGATGACCATAAGGGTCACCTGGGGATCTGTGAACATGCAGGTTCTGACCCGGGTTGTCTAATGAGTCCTTGGTGCTGCTACTGGTCCAGTATGGAGAGCTAAGACTCCCCCACCCCACCCCCACCCCAGTGCCACTGGATGGAATAGACCCCAACCCTCACCCCCATCCCTGTGCCACTGGATGGAATAGACCCCCACCCTCACCCCCATCCCTGTGCCACTGGATGGAATAGACCCCCCACCCCCACCCACCCCAGTGCCACTGGATGGAGTAGACCCCCACCCCCAATCCCACCCCATCCCTGTGCCACTGGATGGAATAGACCCCCACCCCCACCCCCATCCCTGTGCCACTGGATAGAATAGATCCCCACCCCCACCCCCATCCCAGTGCCACTGGATGGAATAGACCCCCACCCCACCCCCATCCCAGTGCCACTGGATGGAATAGACCCCCACCCCACCCCCATCCCAGTGCCACTGGATGGAATAGACCCCCACCCCCAATCCCACCCCTATCCCTGTGCCACTGGATGGAATAGACCCCCACCCCACCCCCACCCCAGTGCCACTGGATGGAATAGACCCCCACCCCACCCCCATCCCAGTGCCACTGGATGGAATAGACCCCCACCCCCACCCCAGTGCCACTGGATGGAATAGACCCCCACCCCCACCCCCACCCCCATCCCTGTGCCACTGGATGGAATAGACCCCCATCCCCACACACATCCCAGTGCCACTGGATAGAATATCTGGTGGAGCAGGGAAGCTCTTAGAAGCTATTTGGTGGACTCTCCGGGTTCTGACAGTGGGACTCCATGGCAGCTAGGGGGCTGTTTGCTCTGTTTAATGGGCTGCATTGGATCTGAACTGTCTGATGGTCGGATCTCCCTTTTGCTAATGCACTGGACTGGAGTGCTCGGAACAGGAAACATCAGCACTGTCACTCTTCCTCCTCAGGTGGTGGAGGAAACGCTGTCGGCCACGTCCAGTGTGTGCTCTGCCTTCACCTGCTCCTCTCCTTGTGACCTCTCACTCTCAGGTGGGAGAGCCAGCCCCGCCCCCTCTGGAGGACTCGGTGGAAAAGCAGGTAATTGAAAGGCAGTCCGGTCTCATGAGCCTTAAGAAAAACCCTTTGGATCTTTTTTTTTTTTTTTTTATCCTCACCCGAGGACATTTTTCCATTTTTTGTCCAGGTAGAGTGGGAGGGAGAGAGAGAGGAACAGAGAGAGAGAGAGAAACATCGACGTGAAAGGGACACATCGAGTGGCTGCCACCCGCACAACCGACCAGGGCCGGGGACAAACTGCAACCGAGGTACGCGCCCTTAGCGGGAACTTAACCCGGGTCTCTCAGGACCGCAGACCGACGCTCTAACCGCTGAGCCAAACCGGCCAGGGCCCTTTGGATCATTTTTAACCTATAAGCTATCATGATCTAGATTTTGCTGTCTGTCTCAGGTCCCTGTATTTTGCATATAGTGTAACATTCCCTTGTAGTTTTAGGGCACACCATACACCTCTTTAGTTTTCATAGTCTGACCATGAGATGGCCAGATTACTACGGCCCATCTACTTCCCACTGGGAGCACTCAGGTGTCATCCATTATTCATCTGATTCCTGCTAGTTGAGCAATTGGAAGCTGTAACTTGAAGGTGTATTTGGGGCCGATGCTGTAAGAACACAATGGTATAAATGACAATTACCACCTAAAAATTCCAGAGGCCAGGCGGACAGTAAGAGTTTCGTAAGTAAATTTCCTGTGCCTCAGCAGCAGTTATAGAGGGCAGGTTTCTATAGCCTCTCAGTCTCCATCTGAATTAATATAGTCAGTAGTCCTTGTTGGGTTAGCGTTTTCCCATAATTAGATTCTAGCATTTATACATAAAATTTCTTTCCTAATATTCCTTTTCCACTAACCTACAACTTCCTTCATTCTTAGTTTGTCTCTTTTTACTCATTTAGAAATAACCAACTTATTAGGAAAAACTGCTTACTTTTAACTTCTCTTAAAAATGCACACATCCCATTCTTTCATCCGCACTAACATTCCTTCTAAATTTTAAAAGAGAAATCATAAATAATATTATTGATAATACAAAAGTTATTTTATATACCTTCAGCAATTATTAACGGGCTACATACAGAAGGTTTGAGAAAAGCTCAAAGAACGAGTATAATTATTATTATGACTTATTATTAGCAGACAGGTAAAGGCAATCAAATAAATAAAGTTCAGCATCAATTTGTAAGTTTACAGGCCTTGTCAGTGTCTTGGGAAAGCTGCTGATCTCTGGTGTCAGTGGCTTCTCATTCTCGAGAAGTCTTTGATCTCTGCTGTAGGTGGAGGCAAGTGTCAGAGACGGGCAGATGTCCATTTGCGGTTAAGTACCTGATAAAGTCCCTTCCAGTGACGTTGGAGTGAGTCTTTAATTGATGTATTTTACAACAGACAAAATTTCCTGGTTGTAATTCATGGTGTTTGAAGTCTTTGTCTTCCAGGAGCACACTGTGAAATGAATTGGTTACTAATTTATCAGTCCCTATAAACTAGTTAATAAGTTCTTGATAATAATGCAGAATGTCTCCTTTTATTTTTATTTTTTATTTTTTTAATCCTCACCCCGAGGATATACATATATATTTTTTTATCCTCACCCAAGGACATTTTTGCATTTATCATCAGATAGAGCGGGAGGGAGAGAGAGAGGAAGAGAGAGAGAGAAACATCGATGTGAGAAAGACACATCAAGTGGTTGCCACCCACACGACCCCAACTGGGATCAAGGACAAACTGCAACCGAGGTATGTGCCCTTAGTGGGAACCAAACCTGGGACTCTCTGGTCTGCAGGCTGATGCTCTAACCACTGAGCCAAACCGGCCAGGGCAGAATGTCTCCTTTTAGTAAGGTTGATTCATATGTCCCTTCATCCAGATGCATAGGGTGACCAGTGAGGAGAAAAGTTATGTGTACCAAAAGAAGTAGATTTCAGGTTGAGCTTTTGGCCAAAGAAATTCAAAGCTTTTGAAAATTTACGTAGTTGAGTTTTATTTTTTAATGTTTTCATTGATTTTTTTTTTTTTTTTTTTAATAGAGAAAGAGGAGCCCTGGCCGTTTTGGCTCAGCGGTTAGAGCGCCGGCCCATGAACCAGAGGGTCTCAGGTTCGGTTCCTGCTAAGGGCACGTACCTCAGTTGCAGTTTGTCCCTGGCCCAGGTTGTGGTCATGTGGGTGGCAATCACTCAATCTGTCTGTCTCACATCGATGTTTCTCTCTCTCTTTTCCTCCCTCTCTCCCTCCTCCTCTATCTGAAGATAAATGCAAAAAAAAAAAAAAAATGTCCTTGGGTGAGGATAAAAAAAGAGAGAGAGGAAGTGGGTAGGGGGAGAGAAGCATCTACGTGAGAAAGAAACATGGATCGGCTGCCTCCTGCTTGCCCCCCAGTAAGGTTGAGTGGGCACCCCAGGCATGTGTCCTGACCAGGAATCAAACCAGCAACCTCTTAGTGCATGGGATGATACTCAGCCAACTGAGCCACATCAGCCAGAGCTATCTAGTTGAGTTGTAATTGTACCATTTTTATGTTCCACCAATCCAGAGAAGTGGGGTGATAGGCACAATGAAAATACTGTAGAATAGGTCAAATATTACACATGAATTGCATTATTTGCTCAGTGAAATAAATTTCTCAGTCACTGTAACTCAGAGTGAATTCCCCAATTGGGAATGGATTTTTCCCAATAATAATTTACCTATCGTTAAGGTTGTTGCTCTCCTGCAAGGGTTCAACCCAGTGAGAAAGCATACAAATCAGAACCAACACATATTTGTATTCTTGAGATGGTGGCACTTGGATGAAATCCCATTACTGTACCTCAGATGGATCTAAAGGAAGTGGGAATGTCCTTGGGACCCAGGGAATTGTTTTCCAGGATTATATTTGGACAGATAGAACATCTGCTATACACTTGATGAGCTGTAGCAGGAGAAGGTTTTCAGTGGGATTGTTTACTCCATGAAATCATCTTTTCAGGACCCAGTGTGTTAACTCATGTACATGTTAAAGTATATAATTGAGTCCTTATAGGTAAGATTGATTTCTGATTGGGTCCAAACCATATCTACTGGTCTGGGTCAAAGTTTCTCTCTTTTTGTTGCCATATTCTCTTCTCTTTTGTAGCTATCTGTTGGAACAGTAAAAAGAGTCTTTTATTGATTTGATAGGAAGCAGGGGGCCTTCTCAGGTCTGGATGATGTGTCTGTTTAATGCTTCCTGTCCAGCTGCAGCCTCAGCTAAATGATTTCCTTTAGCTTTCATGGTGGCAGCTTTAGAACGTTCTGGAATTTTGATGATTGCCAATTGTTTCAATTTTCTATGCCATCTAATAATTCTGCAACTTATTTTCCATTCTTTATGGGCT